ATATTGTTAACCATCCGTGTAAAATGTATCCTGATGACACTAAACTGCTGGCCCGTTTAGACCACCCATTAGCTTCACAAATGCTTCAAACTGATATCTGCAACACAGCCGATTGGTGTAAAACCTGGAAAATGAAACTTAATCTCGATAAATGGAAAATCATGCACATAGGTAAAAAAAACAAATTTTATGTCTACTCAATGCCAGCTAAAGTTATGGAGAAAATAAAGTTAAATGTAAAGTTATGGAGAAAATATTACGTGACACTATAGTGTCACGTAATATTTTCTCCATAACTTTACATACAACTGATGTTAAGCCAGTAATTGTCTGGGTCGAGTCTACTTCCGTTTTTAAACAGTGGTGTTACATTAGCTTTTTTCCATACTTCAGGACAACTCCCACTATCTAGCGACTTCTGAAAAACTGCGCTTAAAAGTGTTGAGAAGCTGTCAGAACAGTTCTTCAGTACATATGCGCTTACACCATCCAAACCAACGGTTTTGTCAACTGATAAATCGCTCAGCTTGTTTTTAACCAGATCTTGCATTATTTGCGAGTATTTGCAGATGGCTTCAATTTGTTTTATAAAATATGGCAGTTCATCTTCTTCATTTTTGTTGAAAACACTTTGAAAGTGATTGTTCAGCCGATTTGCAATTTCTATTGGATTTGTAATAGTGTCGCCATTGATTCCTTTTAAGGCTGTTATTGTAGTTCTAACATTTTGTTTGCTATTAACATACTTGAACAGGATCTTTGGGTTGTGCTTCGATTTTATCGCTAAATCAAGTTCAAAGTCACAACTAGCTTTATATATGAGCTTCTTCAATTGAATATTACACGCATTGTATTCGTTGACCAGTTTAAAATTTTTGTATCAATTCGCTCTTTTATTCTTGATGTCATCATTCATCCATTCGCCTCTACGACGAATCCATTTTGAGTTAGCCACTAGGACACAAGTTTTGCATGCAGCCTCGTAGTGGTTTGAGAAAATGTTATATATATGACATCAGTATTGCGTCCATTGAATTCCATCTGCCAGTTGATATTGTTAAAATATTCGGATATCTTTACAAAGTTACTTTTATGATAAATGCGTTTTTCAATGTGTTTTCGTACAACTGCAGCGCTTTTAACAACGTAATCCCATTGAAGGATGTGGTGAGATTTCTACAAAGACGTTAAAGGTGCATGGTGAATAACATCGAGGACCCGATTTTCACTTTCGGCTATAATTAGATCAAGAGTGTTGTTCGATGTAATTTCATCAAGTTGAAAAGTGGGCTCAGTAACAAATTGTATCAAAAACGACTCGGCGAGGATGTCAATGAAATTACTTGAAAGGGTATCTGTGTTGCTGGCAGTTGGGATACTGCTTGAATCCCAGTTAATTCCTGGCAAATTAAAGTCTCCACAAATTAACAAGCCGATGTATATATTAGGCAGAAGTTCATAATAATGGACGCTTCAATATTCTCGAGTGGATCTAGCATGTGTGGCCTGTATATGGAACCCAGAAGGATGTGTTCGGTACCGTACGATATTTCGCACCAAATTTGTTCAGGGGAATCTAATAAAAAAATTTCGCTTACTTTATTAGGTTTTAATGAAGTGTCGACATAAATAGCCACCCCACCTCCTCTACTGAACACACGATCTTTTCTGAATAACACATAGTTTTCAATGTTAGTTATCGATGATTCATGCCACCAAGTTTCTGTAACGAAGATTATTTTAGGTTTGTATGTCTTAATCGATGCTAGAAACTTTGGCATTTCATTGTTAAAGGGTGTAGCACAGTATAAAAGCATGGTATTTTATGGAAAGCTGACTAATGTAGTAGACTATTAGTTGAAAATGACTTACGCTCTAAGGAAATTTTTTTTTATATTTAAATTGTCATTATATGGTTTTAAATTACTTACTGTTGATTGCTATTTGTTTACTTTAACTACAGCATTATTACAAATAACGTAGCAATGACTTGCCTCTGCCATTTGTTGTTTTTTAAATTAAGAGGCTCGTTTTTCTTTTTCAACTCGTCTCGTAATCTATCTTGTCTTCTTTGTGCTTCTGTCAGATCCGATGCCTTCAAATTTACGCCGGGCTGCTTTAACAATATTATTTCTGGTTACAGTGTCTGTCGTCTCAACTATAATAGGTGGAGGTTTATTCGGATCTTTTGACCGTAAGCGAAAACATTATGTTATATTGTCCGAATTAATTTTAACGTTGGTTAGAAGCTCTTTTATTTTGTTCTCATCGTCTACTAGCTTCTCGTTAGGTTCTTTTTTAGTCGATGCTGGAATGCTAAAGGTGATAAGATTTTTGCCACGCTTCATTCTATCTATGTTCTCATTAGCTACACAATTAAGCATATCAAGTTGAGCTGGCGTTTTAGTTAATTTTTTTCCGACCACAACGTTCCATGCTTCCATTGTAGTTGAGGAAGCAATGGGTTTTTCCTCAAGTTGTTGGATTCGCTTTGTGAGGG